CCCAACACTTAACTCTCATACAAAACACTTTTAATAAAGGAAGAAAGGAAGAAACAAGAAATGAAGACAAGTCTTGTTGTTGTGTCTAAAATGAACTAATAACCTTCCCTTTTATAGACAAAAAAGTCTTGGCCTCTTAGGTGTAAAAGAAGAGATACAACTTATGCAAATGATGTCCAACACACAATGCAATATTTTTGGGTCCCAAAGAATATTGTCAACAAAATCTACACTTTGCAAAGATGCTTATGCTTATGTGATATGGACTCCATTAACTAAAATAATGGTCATATTACAAGGGCAAATATGATGTTATTTTCTATTAGCGTAGATAATAATACTATAACAAAATACCAAAGTTCTCAATTTCAAATATTAAAGGAGCAAATTTGACCATTTTCTCTTTTATTTTGAATCTTTTAGCAGAGCAAAGTGGCTAGATAAGACAAAGAAAGAAAGAAAATAAGTTTTCTGGTTCCCCACCGCCCAATCTTGAAGTAACATGAAACCAAGATTGCGAGGTGATATGCATTTAATTTCGCTCCGTTTTATCCGTTGAGAATGCAGCGACGGATTCAGAATTTAAATTTTATAAATTTAAATTTTATAATTTTTATCATTAAATTTATTTTATTATTAAAATTATGAATTCAAATTTAATACTTATTGAGATTTTAATAGATTCTTAAATTTATACTCAATATGTATTCAGTTGAACTCGTAACCGAAAAACTACATCCACCCCTTAGTGAACTTATTATTCAATAGAAAAAGAGAACGTAATCTTTCAAGTTTGGTTTTATTTTTTGTGGGGTTTCGGGCGTTTTATAAATTTATTAATGATTTAACCTAGAGTAAAGATTATTTAATTCTCTTTTACGTTTTGCAAATTCAAATAATGACATTGTCGAAATTTTTCTGCAAGTCAAAAATGACCTAAACAATCATCGGTTTTAACACATTTTTTCTCTTCGAAAGATGGAAAAGCACACCCAAAATATTGTGGAAATGTTAGTTACTAAACTCCATTTATTCGCTCTTAACCTTATGGAGATAGAAAACATTACCTTATTTATCATTTGAACGAAGTAAAGAAACCCTTTCACCCTTTACGAAACATTGACTTGTTATAGAAAAGAAAGAGAAATTAATTTAAATAGCACCTCGTGCAAAAATATAGCCGTAAGATGAACGTGTTATACATAATTAGTATAAAACATATGTGTATTGGCTACAGAGTGTAAAAAAGTCTTTGATCGAGTGGCCAAATACGTAAAAAGCATTTTAAGCACAGGTTCTAAGAAGAATGATATTTTGAATCTTTAAAGGAAGTTCTAAGAATAGATAGGACATGAAATTCTAAATTTTATGTAATAATATAATATTGCGTATTTTTCATTATTGAAAAATGTTGTATGATTCATAATAATTGGGGAGTAAATTAGATAAAACGTACTCACTCAATTTTATTTTATGTAAATCTATTTGATTAAATATGAAATTTAAGATTAAAAAAAATTAATTTTGGAATCTAAGTCTTAAGCGTAACATAATACTTTATAAATTATGTCAGGAAAGATTAAAGGATTGAAATTAAATTATTTTAAATATAAAAATATATTATTATTTTAATAAGTACGATTTAGTTTTATTTTAAGTCAGCAGTACGGAAACATCTTGGACCTAACATCTGGTTTGTCGTTTTCCGTCGGCGGACCTCAACAACTTTTCTAAGAGATATAAATCCAATGAAAAGGATAAGTAGATAATAACATTTTTTTTAGTTTATTTTTCACCCTATTTTTATGTTCGATATTCGTATTGAGATTTCAATTAAATTGAATTTATGTCACGTAAGACCTATTAAAGAAAAAATATTATTTTCTATCAAGTTTCTTTTTTAATTTTTCAGATTCAAAACCAAGATCTCTCATTAATTATAAAGAATATATCCCACCACAATCTTCAGTGGCGCGAAGCTATATTCATTTATAACTTGTTAGCTTCTTTGTGGACATTTTCTATCAACTTCAACAACAACAATAACCTAGTGTAATTTCACAAGTGAGCTTCGATGAAGGTAATGCGTACGCAGATCTTACCCCTAATTTGTGAAGATAAAAAAATTATTTTCGTAAGACCCTTTGCTTAAAAATCATTAAATAATAAGCAACCAACTATAATAATAAGAAAGGAAAATAAAGACACAACGTGTATTTTTTCTATCAACTTCATTATTGATAAAATGAAAGTTGATGTGCTAATTAACTTCATCTTATCAATAATGTAGACTCGTTCTTATTTATAAGAATTTAAAGTTAACTACGTGTATTTTTTCAAAAGAATTTATAAAGTTGATGTGCAAATTAACATCTCCTTATCTTGACATGAGGTTTCTTGCAGTTAATTGTCTCCCTACTTAAAACAACTATCTACCTACTGTCAGATTTTAAATTATTTCATTAATTAATTACTAATCACCCTAATAGTAGTGATTTTTGTCTTTTTTATTTCTCTTTTCAACCAAAAAAGCAATAAACCCTCATTCTTGGTAAAATTATATTATTGTGATAAACATCAAACCTCAACTAATATAATATGCTCTATTGGTATTATTGAACTAAAGCGCCATGAAATTGCTCGCTAGGAGTACAGAAAATCGCTCTTAAAATTTCAAATGAAAATTAAAGGAGAATTAATTGTCAATTGCAAGAAGATTCATGCAAACTCCTTTTTTTTTTTTTTTTTTTTTTTT